CTTAAAAAGCAGTCTCTCCACATGATTAAGTTATTTGTAAAAATTGTCACAACTTAATAATTAAGAGTTCCTCATATTGAGACTGTCTCTCTGCAGTATGAGTCCTTACCAAATGCTACTTCAGAAAAACACTTTCATTGTGGACACAGATAACATAAAAGAACTTTGCTTTAATTTGTAAAAAAAAAAAACCACATCAGACCCTCACCTACAAAAAGAAGGTATTTAAGTGATATCATTTCCACTTGCATAGTGGTATACTAATAGTACTAGCCACAAATAATGATGCGGTCAAGTTACTCCTTGTGTGTGACTAAAAGTTTAATTCTTAAAAAATCATTCAGTCTAAAAAAGAACCGTAGAAGCGTAACAATCAGATTTCTTTGCTACAGAGAAAGGTATTTTTTTTTTCTTTGAGCTTTTATATTCCACGTCTTGTTTAGTAGTTTGACCACTGTTTTTTTTCTGTTTGTGTCTGAACAGTTCTGCAAGTTCAAAAAAAAAGATTGAATCATCTGTGGAAGAAAAATTAATTGAGGGCTGTTAAATTTGCACTCCCTCTGTATATTTTTTTTAGAGTATCCTTCTCTTGGATGGATGACCTTACAGGGCAAAGCAAGCTCCATCTGCCCAGGTTTGGAATTAGAGTTGTCCTTCTCCTAGGATGACTGCCGGAAGGCTGGCGAGCCCATCCTACCCAGGGACATATTTTATCTGACCCTTCAGTTTTGACCTGTCTGGTATGGGAGACCCTACTGGAGGCATATACCACCGCCAGCACAGCTCGCAACCTCATGAGGGCACACAAGCTTCTTCCCCACTAAAATGATTTGGATGAGCCTTTCTATCCCTACTTTTACCCCCCAGCCTCCTACACTCAAACCCAAGGACATTCCTTTGTCCTAGACACCCTTCCAAGATGCTATAATTCCAAAACAAACCATTCCTGGGCAGAAGCTGCAAGCGAGCCAAGAGAAGGATACTCTAATTAAACCTACATCCTGAGGACTTCACTGTCACCATCCAAGCTCTCTAGGCCCTGACAGATGAACCTTAGGAGTAAAGGATGGGACCAGTTCTGCGCATGCTGTGCCTCACTAAAAAATCCACTGTGCAGGCTCAAAGCCCTTTACTCAGTGCAGATGGTCAAATGATTCTGACAGATAAAATTTCCATTCTGAATTGATGGTCTGAACATTTTCAGACTCTTTTCAGTACTAGCCGTGTAGTTCAAGGCTCAGCAATTCAGTGCACTACATTCAGTACATTACAACAACTGGTGAAAAATGAATTGGATATTGCCCCTACTATGGGAGAAACTCTTAAGGCCATACAGCAGGTGAAAACTGGCAAGGCAGCTGGGGTTGATGGAATTCCACCTGAAGTCTGGAAGCATGGAGGCCAAGTACTGCATGCTAAATTTCACAAGTTTGTGGTGTGCTGTTGGGAACTAGGCGAACTACCATTAGACCTTCGTGATGCAGTCGTCATCACCTTGTCTAAGAAAAAAGGAGATAAATCAGACTGTTCAAATCATTGAGGTATTACTCTGCTCTCCATTGCTGGCAAAATCCTGGCAAGAATACTTTTAAACAGACTAATACCTTCTATAGCAGAAGGAATTCTACCTGAAAGCCAATTTGGTTTCAGAGCCAACAGGAGTACCACAGACATGGTATTTGTTCTCAGACAACTGCAAGAGAAGTGTAGGAAACAGAACAAAGGTCTCTATGTAACCTTTGTTGATTTCACCAAGGCTTTTGATACTTTGAGCAGAAAAGGTCTGTGGCAGATTTTGGAACGTTTATGATGTCCCCTCAAGTTCCTCAAGATGATCATTTTGCTTCATGGATCAGCACAGCCAAGTCAGATATGGCGACACACTTACTGAGCCCTTTCTAATAAAGAATGGTGTGAAACAAGGTTGTGTTCTTGCACCAACTCTATTCATAGTCTTCTTCATCATGGTGCTCCAAAGGGCCACGGCAGACCTCAATGATCAGGATGGTATCTACATTCAATACCGTACTGATGAAAGCCTTTTCAACCTAAGGCGACTGAAGGCCCACACCAAGACCTTAAACCATCTTGTCTGGGAGCTGTTTTACACTGATGACGCCGCCCTTGTTGCCCACAAGAAGCAACTCTGCAGTGTTTAACATCCTGCCTTGCAGATGCTGCTGAGCTTTTTGGGCTGGAAGTCAGCTTAAAGAAGACAGACGTTTTCTATCAATCTGCACCTCAGGAAGTCTTCCATCATCCCCAGATCACCATTGGCGAATCAGAGCTCAAGTCAGTCCAGCAGTTTAATTACCTGGGTAGCCTCATCTCCTTGGACAGTAAGGTTGACGGAGAGATAGACAACAATTTAGCAAAGGCATATAGTGCCTTCTGAAAGCTTCATAAAAGAGTCTGGCGAAATAAACACCTGAAGAAAAGTACAAAGATCAGTGTTTATAGAGCCATGGTACTGTCTGCTCTTTTAAATGGATCTGAATCATGGGTCATTTACCGCCACCACTTGTGACCCTTCCATCAACGCTGTCTTGGTACAATCCTAAATATCCACTGGACTGATTATGTGAGTAATGCATCTGTTCTTGAACAGGCAGCAGTTATGAGTATTGAGGCCATGTTGCTGAGAACACAGCTGTGATGGGCAGGGAACGTCTCCAGGATGAAGGATCACCACCTCCCTAAGATCTTGCTTTATGGTGAACTTGCCACCAGCTGCTGCAAGAGAGGGGCCCCGAAGAGGAGATACAAGGACTCCCTGAAACAACATCTCAGCCTTGGCCATATTGATCATCATCATCGGTCTCCTCTGACCTCCAATCAGGAGTCATGCAGACACACTATCTAAAATACTGCTGCTTCTTTTGAGAACACACGCAGAATCATTCTTGAGGAGAAAAGACAACGCAGAAAGAACCGTGTCTTGCCAGTACCACCTAAGGAGACTTTCTGCTGTGCCTTTTGCAACTGGACTTGTCTATCTCACACTGGCCTTCTTAGACATCAGTGTGCTTGTAGCAAGCGTGGATAGAAAAAGGGTTATTGGGAAAAAAGGAATTTAGCAATTTACATTAATTTTTTAAAATTGTACTTTTAAGACTAAAAATAATGAAATACATTAAGCATATTTTTTCACATCAAAATTACATATTTTTTACTAAAGTTACTAAAACTTCAGCAAATTTCTTTTCTAAACCAAAGAAATCAAAGTCTTGTTCTCTCTACGGTGATATAAAATTATAAAGTTTTAAATACTAACCTATGTAGTGAGAATAATTTTAATCATATTTAGCAGAAATGTTTTACTTAAAATGATCGTCTTCTAAGCACAAATAATACACATTATTTTTATTTTTTGAGAAGTAATGAGTTCCTAAATATTTAATTCATGTAATTCATGTGAAGCACTAAGTATGTATAGTTAACCATGTTCTTGTATTACTAAATGTTGACAAAAATCTTAAAAGGATATAACAGTGGCTTTGATATCTTGTTTACATACACTATGCTTTGTGCTGTAAGTAAACAGGATGAAAATATTCAGTCAAAAACAGTTTTAGTCCTAATTAAATGTTTAAATTTTTGGGATAAAAAGATTAAATAAAATGGACACACTTAACATGATTTATGCTTTTTGGGGGGGCAGGGGGCGGTGAAGTGGAGGGGAGGCACTGAAATCTATCCATTTAATCCCCTTATCAGTATTGGGGCAAATAACCAAAATGTCTGGTCTTGAAAAGCTGTAGCCTATTCATAGCTTGTAGTTTATTATCTTGCACACAGATTCATATGTCAAAGATGAGTGTAAAAACTGGCTTGTAGTTGTAGCAGATTGGCACAGATTTACCAACATGGTGACTTTTATGTTGCACAATGTTGTAATCTATTTGGGTATGTTTGAATGAGACACATCAGCACACCACAGTAAAAGCCTTTGATAATGTCCCAGGAGTTAAGGTGTATGAAGAAGGTGTTTAGTTTCATAGTCCTGAGAACAGATTTTACAAGTTAAAAAGATACTTTGCTAACCATTTGTCAAGTTTAGAATTGGTATTCTTGGCTAGGTAATTAAACCTAGTTCTGCCTAGATCTAATCAATACTGTTTTCCTAACTGAAACTTTGTTAAGCATTGCTTTTGAAAAAATATGTAGTTATGAACTACTGAAAAGTTGGTTTTGTAGAAAATATATAGCGTTAGATTGTTTATGGATTTTTTTGCTTTGTTTGGTTTTCACGTAAGTGTCCACACAAATAGAAATAAAATAACTCTGGATATTCAGTTGTTCTTGTGATCTTTGCAACTGAAATTGCTGTAATAACCTACCAAACACATCTGGTTTCATAAACAAGGTTTCATAAACATGATTCTAGATGAATGTTAAGGAGTGGATCAGCTCCTTGAAACAAACGCTGTTCTCTTTCAAATATTCTAATGACAAAACAGGAAAGAAAAGATCTGCTTCCTCAGCACAACTGACTCTAAAATTCATTTCGACATTTTCTGTGATGTCAGTGGTCTTTAGGAAGTTTTTAATATATGTTAGGTTTTATAAAACAGCTGCTGATTGCTAAAGAAGCAGAATTCAGTTTATAGTCTCTGCTTTAGCTAATAAAGCACCAAGGACCAGATCTTAAGTTGGATGGTGTGTTATTCATTAACTACTTTGTTAAAAAGAATAAGATTGTTTGAGAAGGGAAGCTGTACTTAGACTTGCTGAGGATGGTACAGTCTTGCCTGAAGGAAATTTATTTTAGCTCTAGCTCAACTGTACCTAAACGTTAATCCTGCAAATTCAGGCCTTTTTTTTTGAGAGTAATTTAATTATAAATAAGAAAGGCTAGTGTTACATTGCTTTTAAGTAGTTTTTAGTTTTTAAACACATAAAATTATAAAATTTTAAATTTTAAATAAAAATGCTTTTATCTCCAAATAATGAAGAAAAATCCTGTGTTTTTTCTTTTTCTTCACTTTTTTTTTTTTTAGCATAGAAAAGTGTCTTAAAGACCTGCAAAAAGAAGTAAATGAAATATGTACTGATGAAATTCTACAAAGCACAACTGACTGCATTCAGTGGCTAAATAACTGCAATTTTAGTTCTCTCAGATCTTCTTCTACAGACCATGGAGAGCTGACGGAGTTCCTTAGGACCCTGGTAAAAAAATTTTATTAAAGACTTTTATGTTTAGAAAGTTGGTTGTATGATTGGAGGTGGGAGTGTGGATGGTTCAATTAGTTTTCTCATTTTGGTCTTCACTGTGGTGATGATAGTTCAGAAATTGTATTATAAGGCTTAGTGTTGTTTTCATGTCTGCAGCAGGGTGTTATGTTTCCTTTTGATCATGCCTTAAATAAACAATCTTGGGACAAAATCTTTTCACAGATGCTGCCATATGTTCAGCACTGCTAGGATTGTTTCATAAAACACATGTTGGTAAATAAACACTGGAAGTTACTGTCTATACTGAAGCTGTTAGTGTTTCTGCCTGTTCTTCACTTGTTTCGGTATGAATTTAACTCATCTAGTGTACATTATTGTCCTTTATGCATTATTTAAGCATAAACTTCCAACTTTCTATGTGGCTGGAGGCATAGGGAGTAGATGCCCCATCCCTGGAGACATTCAAGGCCAGGTCGTACTGACCTCTGAGCAGCCTGATCAGTTTGAAGATGTTGCTGCTTATTGCAGGAGGATTGTACTAGATGACCTCTAAAAAGTCACTTCCAATCAAAATGATTCTGTGATTCAGCTCTTTTTAATTAGAAATGTTGGAGCTACATCCATTGTCCTGGCAGGTCGTACAATTGGGTGTAGCCAGAAATCAGATTTCACTTCAATGAAAAATTCCATTATTTTAGAGGATTTTTTTTCCAAAATTTTTATTCAAAATTTACATCTGAATATACGAGTGGACATGGAGGTCTGGAAAATTGAATTGGCTAGATAAGTGAAGGATGATACCTCAGTAAATGAAAACCTGCAAGTTTATATATAATCTATATATATGTCAGTGTGTGATATGATGTAAATATGTAGAAGTGTCAAAACAAGTAAACATTAATCAAGGGATTATTCTTTGTCACTTCCATGTGATTTAGACCATGAACACCTTTAGGCTAAGATTAGCTGTAATGGCAGAGGAAAATTGCTGTAGAGGAGTGTTTTCTCTGGCTAGAGTGCAAGCTTCATCAAATCACCTCCTGTTTTTTTAACACTTAGAACTGTTTGTTGCTCTTTCAGTCACCTTTGAATCCACTGGATATTGAGCTGTGCCAAATGAGGAAGTAATCTCTAGAAACACCAGGTCTTTAATGTTCATGTGGTGAAGAAGTGATTTTGTTGCTTTCTGACACAGCTGATCAAAGGAATGTTACTGTTAATTAATCACTCCACTCGAAAGTTTCAGAGACTGCAACATGTCATACTCGATCTAGATGAAATTAGAGAATCCCAGAAAATGCTGACCCATGAAGTTTTTGACTTAGGAAGTCTTTTGTCACTCCTCTTAGTCCAGTTAGATCCCTACTTAAATCCCTCAGCAGGTGGCATGGCAATGATGACTTACTTGTGTCCATTCCCTGCTTTCTTCCTTCTGCAGGGTCTATTCAAGCCATATACCTGAACACCAGATGGCGGCATTTGTTTGGGAAACACTGAAATGTCCCCATCTCTGAAATATCCTACACAAAACATGCTTTCTAGCTCTTCATATGCCCAGGAGCTTACTAACTGCATGACAGTCTTGCTGTGAGCTGTAGAATCCAGTTAAGCCTTGAGAATGGATCTGTGGCAGGCTGCTAAACAGGCAGCAAAGTATGAGAAGCCTTAAAGTTTTGATTCTGCACAGTTTATCAGGAAAACATTTTTGGAGCTTGGGAAGTTGGACATCACTACTTCCAGGCTCATGGCTTCTTAGATAATCCAGCCTGTTGTATAGATGAGAATACAGATGAAAAGTGTATCTGTATTATCAGACAGTCCATCTGTAAGAAGTTATATTCACAGTAGATAATCTTTAGTTCCTTAAGCAGTAAATTATTTTCAGTAATATTCAGCATTAATGAGATTATTATGATCTAACCTTTTTTAAAGGTATCTCTCCACACATTGAACTAATTACTCAGTTAATTTCTTCTTGCATGCTTTTAATTAAATATATATAATACATCTTCAATAACAGCAACCTTCCTTCAATTCAGGACAATATCCCTATTCATTGTTATCCCTTATTGTGTGTGTTTTGTTTGTTAAGAATTTTATTTATCTTTTAAGCTGCTGGAACAGTGCAAACTTCTTTCTGTGTCTTGACTGGGGTGCTGTATTTAGGTTTATTGTTATTCTCATGCATTTGTGAACTCTTAGGAAAATACTGAGTTTCTTCATGAAGGCTGAAAATGTTAATTATGTGAAATTTTGTCCTTCTGTGTACTGTCTTGTAATGCTAAAGATTTAAAAGCTGAATATGAGCACAAGCACATCTTTATTAAATTCTGTTCCTGCTAAAATAATGACAAATTCTTTTTTTAACAAAGTCTTAATCTTATTGTATTTGTATATTGATATGGTAGGTCTATAGTAGCTAGTAGTCCAGTTGGTAGACTGCAACTGGTTCTCTGTATATTATTGTCACTAACTTTCTGTGCTTATAAGGGAACTTTTCATTTTTCTCCAAACCATTGGAGGATACTAATTTGGATCTTTTTCTCTGGAACAGTTTTGGCATTATCTGTTGAAGTATTTTTACAGGTTAATTTTTAAATAGAAAAGCTTACATCAATATAGGCAGTGGTTTAAGAGACTTGATGACACTGTTTTCAGAGCTCTTTTTCTGAGTAATACTACATCTAAAATGGCATCTGCAAGCTCCGTATTTTAAATGCCGTAGTTTAAATTGCAAAGGCCTTGGAACAATCCTTAGATATATAAAAATATTTCTGCTTTGCCTTGAAAAACAGCAGTGGGGGTTTGCTTAGAAGATCATTTGGATTAATCTTCCAATGACATCAGTTACATTCACTGTTTTCACAGCTTCTCTTGTTTTGTACATTTCAGAATATAGTATTTGAGCATGATTCATTAAAAAAAAGTAATATTTAAATTCCAGAAGTCTACCTGTGAAGACTCAACTCTTCAACACGGTGGTTAGTGATCAGAGTTTTGGTTTACCCTCTGAGACATGTTTTCTTTAGGGCCAGAAAACTTCATAGAATACTTCAGTAGATAATAAAAGAGAATCAGATCAGTGTTATGTATATGCCTATTGATATGTATGATTTAAGATTTTAACTAGTTGCATATATTTCTATTACGTGCACATGCTTTTATAGGATGATATTTGACTGCTAATTTCCTTTATTATTCTGTCTTCCACGTCTTTTCTGCTTGTAAGTAAAAAAATTAATAAGGTTAATTCTGAAATAAAGATCTAGCATGGAAGAAAATAGGTAGTCTATTAATTTTAAGACTTTCCTTTATAAGAGGAATCATGCTTCCTGTCTAATGTTCAGAATTAGGTACTGTGGTGGAAGTGTCTTATTTTTTAATTTTTATCATGAAACACTTCAGAATAGAGGGCAGTAGAAAGATTAAACTCTTCTTTTCCTGCATAAGAGTGTAACAGTTTTGTAACATCCAGAACAAAGAATACAAGTTCTGATTTTGAAAATTTGTGTGACTCAAAAGCATAATTATCTATGGAGAAAAGCTTGATACAGTGGAAAAACTGAAGATTTTTATTTGGAAATAGTTGTATTTATTCAACATTCAAATTTGAATTATCTATCTCTCTTTCAAAAGGACAACATAAATAAAACTAATTATTTCCTCAAATACTGCAAGTTAAATAAATCAGTAATTCTGAAGGTGGGAGATTGCCAACAGTTTCTTTACCAGCCTTGCATTATAGCATGGAGTACAGCTAGGAGACCCAGATAAAGGATATGAATGGAAATAATTCCCCTGTGGTGGTTTGCCACAGGGCTTTTCTCTGTTGGAGAGAAGCAATGGAAGGTGAGGGAGCAAGTGAGAGGGCTTTTAGATCCTTATTCACTCAGGGCTTGCCAACTGAAAATTAAGAGTAGCAGCAATTTCACTCACTTTTCTTGTTACTGTGACAGCAACACTGAGCTGTGACAAGAGGACCTGCTATGTGCTGCATAACTTCTTGAGTCTGAAGCAGCTCTAAGGTCAGAGATTCTGGCCCTGGACCAAGAGAGAGCTCTTCAGGCTTGAATGAAGCATTCATGTGATTTCACCTGCTTTGTTAACTGACTTCCTTCTCCACCCCATATAGTGGAGATGTACATGGATATCGCTATATTGTTTATGTATCAGTCTGCATCTTGGTTTGATGGGATACACAGCTTCTTATTCTTCTGTCCTGTGTGATCTAAGCCTCTTTAATTCTTAACAAGTTTTCAGTTTTAGTTCTTTAAGGAGATCCTGGGAAGACTATTTTATCCTTAGAATGGCCTTTTTGATTGTTGCCTACTGAGCTATAGAAAGGGACCTGTCATTATCTGTGTAAATATTAAACAATTTTTCGTAAAATTTTCCTTCAAAGATGTTTGTGTGACCAGAATAAACAGGCTGCCAAGGGTTTCCCTTGAACTGTGGTCTAGAATTGATTGAGAAAAGAGGCTGGGGATATAAGAAAGATGGAAAGAGGAGTATGAGTTATTGGTAGAGGTAGACAAGGAAATTAATTGGCACATAAATACCATTTTCCATAGGTTTTATAACTTCTGTTGTTTATATAGCAGTTTGTTTTATTTGCTTGTAAGGCAATTAGTATTGGAAACACAGTTTTTGCTCTGGCATGAAGCTGTTCATTTAATGAACCAGGATTAATAAAACATTATTAAAATACTGTCTGATTTACCTTTTTTAGCAAAGCTTGCTGAAGAATGAGCAAAATCAAGAAGAAATGGTACTTCACTTCCTTCTGGATCTCTCTAGTCAGTGTGGTGTCTCATTTCCCTGCACTCCAACTGGGACATCTTTTGAGTTAACATCTTCCCTTCATACCATTGAAGATGATTCAGCTATGGATGTGAAGTCTCTTTGGGATGATGTGAGATTGCATCTTCGACAATTTTTAATAAATAGACTGCAAAGTCAAGAAGAAGCAAACGCTACTGCTTTGCAACAACAAATGGACTTTAAAACTCAGTGCATACAGCAACTTTTGTTTCTTTATCCTGAATCAGAAGTCTTAACGAAGTATCAAAATATGCAGAATAAACTGGTTAGCGATCTTCTACAGAACTGTATTTTATCTAGTTGTGGTGAAACAAATTTTGATAAGGTGGTTCATGGTTACCAAAGTTCCATACCCACATTGTGCACAATGATAAAAGAAGATTTGTATATACTAAGTGGAACTATTGATCCTTCTTCATCATTGAAGTTTATTAATGAAACTTATCTGGATACCATCACAGAAGAAATGACAGTTCTACTTGAAAGACTTTGTGAGCTGCAGTTCAAAGAAAATGCTCTACATATTGTTAAAGCAAACAAGATTTCAAAGAAGTGTAGAGGAACAGTTCATGCTGTGGGTTAGTAGTTTTATTTTATGTTCTTTGTAGTTAGATATTATTTTAATTATGTTACTTTTTTTTTCCAATATATTTGATTATTTTCTATGGAGAGAGAGACCTAAAATTATTAATTACAGCTTTATGTTTTAACCATGCTACTGTAGTTGAATTCTAGCCTGTGTCAGAATTGTGATGAAAAACGTTTTAAAGTACGAGAAAGTAACTTATTAACTTACAAAAACCCCATTATAATTCATTGGATAACACTGTCATGTCATAGTATTCTTTTTTTTAGCCTAACTTATTCCTACTGCTGAAATATATAATTAAATAACAACTATTTACTCCAGGTTTAAATAAACACAAACTCTTCAGTCTTTTAGCCCTACTTATTTCAAAATGTCAGACATTTAAAGGAGATTATTTTGATGTGTCCATGAAGCAGACACAGATTCATACATCAGAGCTAACACAAAAGATTACTATGCAGATTTTAACTGTAAAACTAACAAACACACAAACAAACATTTATGCTTTCTAATTGTGAAAGTACAGTAAGTTAGAGTTAATACCACCTGGTAACTTCTTGTTCCAAGGAATGTAAAGCAGGAGAGGAATCTGTTACTGATGTAGTATATTTTGTACTTTCTCTTCTTCAGTTTGTAAATCTGATGTGCTAATTTCCAAAGGGAAGAATCAGCACTTCAGAAAAAATCATACGAAATGGAAACTTTCATGACATAATTACGTGATTGTATGTAATTGCTTTTTCAATGCAGAGTTTTGATCTCTCCTCTGTGCAGAAGCTGTTTGTTTAAAGCATAGCTTTCCATAAAGGTGAAGTGATTTGCAGACAGAAAATATTAAAAGCTTAGAATCATGTGAAAAATATAGAAACGGAAGATCTTCGGGTTGTGCAACATACAAAAGGGATAAATGAGGTGATGATTTGTCAGGTTGATGCAGAAGAAAATTGCACTCTTGTGAGTTTTAAAATCATCATATATGTTACTGTAAGTCAAATAGGAATTATAGTGGAAGAAATGCAGAGTTAATTTTTCAACAAGAGATGAAATATGGAGGAGTATGTGGAACGTATGAAGAAAAGGCCTGCAGACGTATAAGTTGAAAGGACAAGTTCACTGTAAAGTTGACATATTAGTGGGATAGAGTGTAGTGTCAGAGTACTGTTGAGGTATGGAATAAACAAGAAGAAATTTATCTTTGAATTATGTAGTGAGATGGGAGTCAATGAAAGGACTCACTGACAGAAAAAAAAAAAGACCTGTAGGGAACCGGAAATCTGTAACTAAATTTTAATTTCAGTCTCAAAACAGCTCTCAAAGATGGGTAAGTTCAGGTATCTTCATTTTACATCTAAAACATAGAGTTTAAAGTGACACTAAGGGTGTCTTTAAAACGCTCACACATTAACTCTTTCTGTATTACAAGAAGGAAGAGAACAGTCCTTCAAATCTATTAATACAATACTTCATCTGCTTGATTTTTTTTGCCAAAAGATGCGCTTTAACATATTGTTGTGCCAGCATATCTATCAGTACAGATTTCCATTTCACATTTCTTTTGTATATTCAGAAAAGCAGAGGTAGGTGAAAATAAACAAAGTAAATCTTAGGAATCTGCATACAACTTTAAAACATTTTCTGTGATTAATTCAAATTAAAAAAACTTCAGTATTTCATAAGTGTTAGAGGAGATTTTAATTTTTATTGAAAATGCAGTAAATGTCAGATTTGCGCATGCAAAACCTGTCCTCGTAGCACCTATAAAATGCTCATGTCTTCATATTATTTTACTTCAAGAAGTTAGTATGGGAGACAGGCATTGATTTGCCTACAGTTTCTCACTAGTTTTCTGCAGAATCGAAGCGCTCTAGATGATCTGTGATTATAGACTGCAGGCAGCCAAACCATAAGCCAAACTAGTGAAATCAGCAGGCTAGAGCAAAATAGGGGGTCAGAGTTATGTAGTTTTGGGTATGGTTTGTTTTTTTTCATTTTGTGGACATGTCATAGCCTATTATTTGGTATTATTAACCAACTCAAGCAAAAGATTTTCATTGTATCATTGCTAAAACAGTTATTGAATAGTTTATTCTATATGAGCTCATATGTGAAGAGTCTTTTCTGGAAAGAGATTTCTCTACATTTTTGAATATGCTATGTTTGTACCATGTCAGAAAAGGGTATTTTTCCTTTAGAACTAAAGTGTTCACAAGGCAGTTCACACTGAAATAAGTCTTTGGGAAAAAAAAATTCTACAGACTGTTTTAGGAGGTTTTTGTAATGGTAGACAAGTTCTTAATGTCAAGTAGCTTTTCCTGCTTGGAACTTGTATTAAGTTCTGATACCTTTTCTACTCTCACAGAAATGAGTGGAAGTCTGTATTTTTACATAGTTCAAGTTAAAAGACAGCTTTAATAGATTGCCTTGACAGTGATACCCAGTTTGCCAAGTATGAAAAAAACCTCATGCTGTAGTATGAAGGGATGGAGAAAAAGAAAAGAGGTTTTCTTCTTAGCTGATAGACAGTTATACCAATGTGTTTCTTATTTTTTGATTAGAGGTCTCTGCCCTCTGGAAACCACCAAACCAGCACATTTCAGAACAGCAAAATAATTTAATCTAGTGCATTCAATTGGGACTGTTATCCCAGAGGTGATAAAAAGGCTTGTGTTTGCTCAGTCCACCCTCAGGGTAATGTGGTTTTTGGTTGATTGTTTTTTGTTGTGGTTTTTTTCGTTAAGACTTGCTGTAATCCGTCTTATATGTAGCAGAGGACAAAAATAACAGAAAATAATGAAACAGTGCCAGAACCTCAGAAAACTTTCTATAGACAGCCTTCTTCTGTTGGGAGAATACAGGTAGTCTATAAAAAGCTTTAACAGAGTTATGAATCCTTAGAATATTTCATATATAACAATCTATTTGTGAAGTAAGGAAATAATGTTTTTCTTTTCGTATTGTATTAGAACAGTTATTTGTCAAGTACTGTAAAAAGATTGTATCCATTTATCAGGATTGAGGAAGAGCGTGGTTTGGGAGAGAAGCTGTCAAAATGGCATGTGAAAAGAGGCAGATTTTTTGGAATTTGGCATCTTCAATTGCCAACTATACTGGAGGCAGGTGTTTTTATGTTATAACTTGCTCCTGTTCCCTATTATATCTGTGACTCTTATTACCTTTAACAGTGTAGGTTTCAGCCATAAGTATTTGAGCTAAGTTATTCTAGAAGGGGTTTATATAACATGAATTATAATTTCTTTGTATATTTTCAGCACATAATCGATGTTTCCAATCTGCTAAACTAATATCCAAGGAACATTTCTCAACACCCCCCTAAAAATATTTTGGAGCTTTTAGGGGATTTTGTTGTTCATCATTTTAATCATATGTCTTTCAGAAGTTTATGTAATGTTATGGTATTTAAAAATGTACTAAAAACATCTGTTAACATACTTAGCATGGAAAGAATCACAGTTGGTTTTCAGCTTATCTCTTATGGTTTTTTGCTTCAATTTCCAATGTGATATTTCTCAGAAATTATTTGAAGTAAGTGTATTAAATGTGTACTGTACTTTTACCTTTTGAACCTTTATTATGCTCCTCTGTTTACCAAAATGTTAAGCTAGTTTAATCAGGCATTACTAACCTATCTTAATTCTTCATCTGTTAGATGAAAAAACAGCTACTCTTACGAGTGATAAGACATCTGCCAAAGAAACTTAAAACCCATGAAATTATGCACAATTTTTGTATTAGTGGAAGGTTTTCTTTGGTTTATTGATATAATTTTATACATAAACAGAGAGTGTAAATACATATGTAGACTACTTGGATCTTTTTATTTTTACTTTCCTGTGATTAAGACTAAGCAGATATTAGAGCTCTGAGTTTCATCTTTTCTGACATATTCAAATTCATTGGCTTAATATTTTCAAATAGTCACAAACTTTCCAGAGACCCTTAAACATTTAAAATCCCAAATGAAACTTGGTTTTAAAATCTGAGGCAATACATAGTGTGCTCTTAAATATCACTAGTTGATTATTTTTAAGGAAATATTATTGCAAAGTGGAGGTATATTTTGAGCTACAAAGTAATTAAACCACCTTCAGAGAGGTATTTGAATATTCATATTTTACACTTTTACTGCAGTATATCATCCTGTTACTTATGTGTCTAGCAGGCCTCCTTTCTCTTTTCCTTCTCCAGAACATAACCAACTTCCTTTGTATTCTAAAGATATATTCAAATGCAAACTGTGATTTAAATTGTGATATTATAAATTTTTTATCTTTAACTGTTCTTGAGTTCCAACAGAAGATACTGTGGTTGTGGAACACCTAATATGAATATGGTGTATATCTAAACTTGAATAGATGGACTTGGTATTGTTTAGCTGCATTTGGGCAGTGGAATTGAGAGCAAGAATAGAAACAGGCTCTGGAGTAACTTGTTGAAATGAAGACAACTTTGGGATGTTAAATTTAAGTACTTGGTGTGGTGGTTTGGGCTCGGCCTTCCTTGGTGACCAGTTTGTAACCAAGGAAGGGTCCAGATTTACCCAGTATTCCCTACGATTTTTACGTAAGCCAGATTATAAGAAGAGAGGAGGAGAGGCCTTCGCTCTCTTTCCTTCCGGCGGCTTGGAGGTGCAGGTTCCCTGCTGTTGAGTCTGTTGTGTTGGGGAGCGAGGCCTGGTTAGGCCTTGCTGACCTTGGGAGACGGAGGTTGCCGGCGATCGTTCCGGAGCGACTCTCAGTTGTCCCAGGGGAGTAGTGAGCTGTTTTTCTTTGCTAACTTTTTAGTTGTTAGATATTGGGTCTTGGGATATCTATATATTTTATTTTAGTTTTGTTCCCTTTTCCCTTCCCCCTTCCCTTTCCCCCACTTTGAGTCTGGTGTGTTTTGTCTGGAAAAACCCATCTCACATTAGGTTGAGATGTGGGAGGGGGCTTAGACTAGGGGATTGGATTTTGGGGCTATCTCAAACCA